AAGTAACTTGTCCTTTGCACATTCTGCTTTCAGGCTAGTCCTCCGTGCGGGGCGCTGACAGAGTTTTTCTCCCAGATGGCGGATGTGAGTCTCTGGGCAAGCTTCGTTTTAGGGCTTATAGGGTTTATGTACCCTAATCCCTAAACCCGATGGGGTTCAGGGTATAATTAGCGGGTCACGAAAACGCTTAGAGCAGAACCCGGCCAGCCCTTCGAGGCAACACGAACTACGGATGCACCGTGCCACAGCCGTTGGGTTTAGGGTTTAGGGTATCCAATTAACTTAAGACGGGGTGAGGGTTGCATCGGGGCTGGCCGGCACCTCAGTCCGTGCTGAAAAGGGTATGAATTAATATTATTTTCTTAAGAACCCCAAAAGGACATGAGCATAAGCTTTTTACAGGGATATTCCCACCTTATTGGGCTTCAGTATAAGCGGATTTATATGGGATATCCCTATCCTAAGTTTTGCTTATGTGCTTTTTTTGGGCCCTATTCTCGTAAGGAGATACTGCCGACGGCAATGCAGGTTGAAATACACCTTGATACTCTTGCCTGGCTTTCCCGTGCAGAACATCCTCGAATCCTACACCGTAATCTCGAAAAATCCCCGCAGAAAAACTGTTGAAGGCTTTCAACAGAATGGACTTCAAAAGGCATGAAGACCTCAGGAAGAGATTGGCTCGTCACTGTTGGCAGAAAACGGTTGGAATTGAAGAGCGGAAGCATGTCGAAGTCTTGTGCCGACGAAGTTGGGTTGAACGGCACTTTACACGCACTTGTATATTGACAGTCTCAGGCAGTGGCCCGTGCTGTGTAGTTAGTCTGCATATTCCTGCTGAGCCGCCTCGGAATTCAAGGTTTGCTCGTCGACACCGCGACCGCTCACTACAGCACTCGACAAGTGAACTTACGATTTCCTTGCCGATTCTACAGCCCACAATCGCATGTCCCGCACCTTCGCTCGATGGTTCTTCCGACGGAGTGGCCGACGATCCAAAACGAACTCGCGCGCTATGCGCAGGACCAGCAGGAGACCTACGCCATTCAGCCACGCCCGCTTCCAGCCTTGCGGTGTCGAACGAGCCAAGCATCTTCCAGGTACCGTGTGGCTCAGAAGGCTGGCCAGATATAATGTAAACGTACCACTAGATACCGTACTACAGTGTAGTATTCTGTAGTATACTATAATACATTACACTACACTATAAAATGCCTGTTTAGGAAACTGCCAAGAATCAAGCAAGTCTTGCGACCTTGAAAGTGCAAACCAGGTGGAGATCTCAGCCCATCGTTCCACGAAGGTGTGGATTCGTTTGGGCAACTTCTCGGAGCGGAGCGCAAGTCAAGAGCGTCGAGTTGATAGCCAGCGGACTGCGCGGAAGCCTCGTTGTGAATGAAACCCGCCTGTGCCGGGGTATTCTTGTTAGAGTGCATTTTTCACATGGCCTTGAAGGTTGGGCATCTAGCGAAGTTAAAGCGCAGGATAGCGCGAATTAAGTCGTAAATGACTTAAATGACCTCGGCAGTTTTCACTTGTATATTCTATGCATTTATGTCCCTATGCCGTGGTACCGGTTTTGTATTCCGGGATACTATAATTCTGGTACAACATACTACAATACAATGAACTGTAATTTGATACTCTACGCCATATGATAATATTCCCGTTCCTGCAAGCTCGGGACCTGGCCACATTTCCTCGGTTCCCGCGCAATCGCCTCGGCTGTCATTCTGAAGCCGAAGGGCCCGGTGCAAAAACAAATCATACATTATGCTACTGCTATAGTAAACTAAGTGTAGTATGTTATGAGATATTGTAGTATCTTATAGTGTAGTATATTATCGTATATCATCGCATATCACAGTATATTATGTTTATTATAGTGTATCTTGTTGGCATTCCTCACAGATGCTCAGCTCCTGCGTGGTTGCTCGGACTTGTCACATCGGCCACGTGTCAACGATCCGCCTGCCGAAACTCCCACGATGTCTTGCGTTCCTGTCTATTTCCTGTCTCATCAGCATCATCATCATCAACATCAACAGTATTATTATCATTATCATGTCCGAAGTGCTTACCTTCACGCCGAGTTTGCTGTTGAACCGGTGGCGTAAATGTGTTGCAGAGTCGGAGTCTGATCCCATCGGTCGAGTTTAGATAGAACGGGAATCGATAGAACCATATAGTACAGTGAAATACCATAACATACTGACAATATGCTGTAATATGCTATATGATAAAGGATACTATGTTATTATAACTGTCTATAATATAATTTACTGTGACATACTATGGTATAAAACCACCTGCTTAACTTGATTGAAAGTCATTCACTCGAGGAGTCCGGAAATGTCATTATTTCTTGCTTTCTTGGCACGAAGGACGAGCTCGGACGCTTTATGTTTGGGGATGCTAATGTCAGTGTCAGGGTGTTGCGTGGGCCGTATCATGCGGGAGCATTGTTCAGTGGAAAAGTCTGCAGCCCTTTGCATGAACCAGAACGGGTCAAACACCAGATCCAATCAAAGGTTTCTTGTGGATTTTCAACGGATCATGTAATCCACATAAATGCAATCTTTGGAAAGCTACTGTCGCTTTGCTGAGGTGGTTTTTGGGGTTCCTACTCTTGGTTGGCGTGGGAGGTTTTGGATCTGCACAACTTGCAAAAGCTCTTCCCACTTGGAGCCCGAGACCTTGAGACGGTAGACCGCAAACCCTCAACGCTAAACTACGGACACCCGAACGTACTCCTCATAGATTATAGGTCCCTTATAGAGTCCTCACATGAACCCGCAAAAGGAACCCACCCAACTCCCGACCCAAACACAGAGCTGGTGAGCTTTCCGGGTCCCCGACATCCTGGGATGCCTCGGATGAAGAGGCATCCTACAGGTGGGGTGATGACACATCCCCAAGACCGTAGAGCCTCTCCTTATCCTTTCAGACATGTCATGAGACTTGAGTTGAGGCCCTTTCCTCGTCACTTTCTACTCCAGAGGGAACTGCGGTCTAGGGGTATAGTTTAAATTTCGTGTCGATGAGGTTTTGTGTCAACACGGCTGCTTTTCGCGGGTTCATTCCCGAAGCGGTACGTGAGATGCAGCCCTGCGGGATGGTCCCGCTGTGGCTAAGAGCCCTAATGCCCCTATCCCGCTTTCCACCCAGGCTGCAGCTCCCATGTACCGACTACCAAACCCTGGGGCTCCAAATAGCCCAAAGTAGGAGGCAAAAACAAAGCCCAAAGTATGTATTATTTACAGACTTTAGACCCCAAAGTAGGTACTATTTGTATACCTGGAGCCCTAGGGAAAACACTGTAGGTGTCTTGATATGTCTTGATGCCGGTGGATTTGCAGTGTAAGTTCATGGCGTAGTGTCCAGTTCGGCTCAGAATCCTGAGCCAATCCTAGCTTGCCCAAAGATGTGCGAATGCCTTTTTTGCTTTTTGATTTGTGTTTCTGGGTTCCTACTTTTATTGTAAATAACACCAAACACACACCCAAAACCTACATATTTTCCCGGTTGGCTATAACTATAACATAACCCGGATTCAGAATTATGGCTATAACATAACCCGGATTCAGAATTATGCAGTTAGCAGCTGCTGGTCTCTTCTCCTCAGTCCGAGAGCTATTGCCCGCACGAGTCATTGTGGAGACGGCTGATAGCCTGCCTTGCTCTGACCGGGCTTACGCATGTGGGAGTTTCCGAGAATTAGGGGTACCTTATTTTGGGGTCCTTATATAAGGATCCTACTATTTAGGATACTATATTAGGGTCCCCATGTGTCACCACCACTTGTCACACCTGCGACAATACTGACAGGAGCTACCGTCGGTGTCAGCAAGACTTCGATTCCAACGTACAGTCTTCACTGTGCTGTGTTGAGAATTCCGATGGTGGAGAAGGGAAGAACCAAGCAGCCAGTTCATTCGCTGCAACCTGCCCATGTATCCGCGTTTGAAGTCTTCTGGTCGGTTAGTGGCTGTTTGTGCAGCTGCTGCCGGAACAGATTCTCAGCTCCGCTTCGGCGCGGTTGACATGACAAGCCCGGCTGCAATGATCAATCTTGAGTCCGGAAGTGCAGATGATAATGTTCCGATTTCGGAGGCTCAGATTTGACTTCCACCGTAGGGCATCGTCCAAGCCTATGGAGGCACTGAGGACTCGCTGGTGCGTCTTTTGCCTCAAGTGGCGAAGGATGCAAAGTGCAGCTTCGTGGCTTCGTGTCTTTCAAACTGAATATTGCCGTTGATCTTCTGGGGAAAGTCATTTTGCTGCTCGTTGTTGTGCCCAGGGGCCTAGCCTCATTGCAGAGTGGTCCGTCGCATGTGCCACTGTGCGTTCCACGCGCATGCCCTTTACATGCATTCTTACGCATCCTCTCATCAGCTTTGAGATTGCCATCGTCATTATGGTCCTCGTGTAGGTATTTGCATCCACGCTGTCGTAACTCGTTCTGTGGATGATTCCATCCATACATTCGATTGCATGCCAAGAGGCAGACAGACAGATAGACAGACAGACACACAGGCAGACATTTTTTGTAAAGATAAATTAAACATATGTGTATATATATATATAGAGAGATTTATAGGTATATGTACATACATATACATATACGTATATGCATGTACTTCGAACTTCCGTATGGACAGCATTGCGAAAACACAGCATGACATGCAACTTACGTAGCCCATGTCGCTGATGTCCACTGTGTGATTCACACGGTTTGCTGAAGATCTGCATGCATACGGCATGGAAATGTATGTTTTTGTGTAAGTGTCCCCTTAGTTTGTGACATGTCTGTAGACCCACGAAAGGCTGAATGCCGTGCGTCCCTGAGAAGACCGGCGCTCATAAAGTGTTAACTCTTTCGTTCTGAAGGATCTGTATGCCCAGCGCAAGGATCTACTACACCCCGAGCGAGATTACTTAGAAGCCGGCAGCATTGCACGAACAGAGAGGAATCATGGGCAAATTCATGGTGTGGCGAGGCGACACCCGCCGAGAAGCGGCCGCCCCCACAGCCGGTGATTCGGCGAGGCCTGGGTTCAAAGAGATCTCCGATTCGAGTTTGCGACAGGCGGCGGACGTACAGCATGTACCAAGGACAGCTTTTTAAGGACACCTCGCCACATCTTGTAACTGACTTTGGATGTTGCCAGACTCTGAAGTGCACAGACCCCATGTAGTAAGTTGGTATGTGCAGTAATGTGAAGTATTTTGGCCGTTTCGAGAGCTGTTGTGTTTCACGGTGCAGTATAATAATGTTACCGAGTCCTGCGAGCGCAGTGTAGGATCATTGTGGTATACTGCGAAATCCAAAATGCATGACGACCTCGTATCAAGACTGGCATCTACCTGCTGCATATAAGCTGGAATTCTAGACTCAGAAAGCAACATGGCACCAATAAAAACGATGATAATAGCTGCAGGAGTGACCCCGGTGGCTGATACTGACGGTGAGCAACACAACAGAAAAATGCAGCTCAACATCAACAAGGTGGTTAAGACGATATAACACAAAACCAATTTGAAAACTAGCAGCAGAAGCATCAGAACAGCAAAAGAGCTGCGACCGACCAAAGACCGAATCAACAGCATGATCAGCACGGCCCGCGACGATGTCAACGACGACAGCATGAGCAGTTGCAGCAGTCACTGCAAAATCAGCAGCAGCGGCATCACTGACACCAAGTTCTGTAGAAGTAGCACCCCCAATAAGGCTCTGCCAGTGGTGGTGATTGTAGTCTGTAGTCGTATGCGTAGCAGCTGCTGCTCCTACTGCCACCACCACCACGACCACCACCATCACCATCACAACAACAACAGCCACAACAGCCAAACTAAGCACAACAAACACAACAACGACGACGACTGCTGCTGATGCTGCTGCTCCTCCAGCTACTACCGCTTCTACTGCTACTGCTGCTACTATTTCTCCTACTGACAAGAACTGTGAGACTGTCAGAACAACAACACCACCAGATCAGCATGCGACGGTCGAGAGGAACATGACAGAGCAATTCCTCGCCCGGATTGTCCGGGCTCAAAGCAACACAGCACTAAACCGGACACCGGACAGTCCCTGAAATTACCTATACTAGTCTTGGGATGTTTTGGGGGTCTTTATTATAACTATAGTATACTGGGCCCCAAGACCCAATTCTTATTAAGGCCCCTAGAGTAGCCCGGTTTACGCTAAAATCCGCTAAAAGGTCCCATGCTAAAGTCTGCGACGGCCTCGGCTGCTGCGCCTCCGCCCCCGGACTTGGATGCGTCGCCCGAGTCCCAAAACGGACAACATGGCATGCTGTGGCTTCAGCGGCCCTTTCAGATTTATGTTTTCAGGTGTGCTCCTCCAGGGATAGTGGCTTTGGAGTTGTGCTTGAGCACAAAGGCAGCAAGCTGCTGCGTTCTAGATGCCAAACGCTGGGATCTCGAGTCTAGAGTCTAGATCTCTCAGGGCGTGGGGTTTCGGATTCAAGGACCTTGACAAAACTCTTCGTTTTTGGAGAGTGGTCTTTCCCTTCCTCTCAAGTCTCTACTGACCATGTCGTGGCACAAGGCCCTTGGCTTTCGATACCGTGCTCTCAAGGTCTAACAGTGCTCCTGTTTGCAGGTGTTTGTGAGAGAAGCTTGAGGGAGCGACTTTCCAGCCCAACTTGAGGACTTATTGTTTTTTTAAGTCACTGCAAGAATCAATGAGCGTTGAAACCCTGGCAAGACCAAGCTTGCAAAATCCGAGGACATGTCGGCCTTTGGCCTAGACAAATCAAACCACATTAGGGTATGGTGCCCTAAGCCCTAAACCTTGAGTGGGTTGGACGCCAAGGTTTGAATCTTTCCTCCAGGAGCTGCTAGAATGTGCAAACGTTCGGGCTTTCGTGTAATTTTAGTTGTTGGGCTTTGGGCCGTTATGTAGTCGGACCTCGTCGGGCATGTGGCTTCAGCTCTCGCATTCAGAGGCATAAGACATGCGGCTTCGCGTGGGCTGTGGCTTTTCCCGAATGCGCAGCAGAAGGGTTCTCGTTTCAAAGGTTGGGGTCCAGGGGTCCAATCGTTGACCAGGGATCGTCGTTAAAGCGTTCGCAAAGCGTTCGCAAGCGTTCGCAAAGCGCACGCGTCGAGGTGTCGCCTCCGCGGTGTTCTGAATCCATCAAGCTAAGGGGGAACTCCACTTCTGAATCCGTCAAGCTAAGCGGGAACTCCACACCCGGCACGCGTCCAGGTGT